ATGACGAAACAAAAAAAGTGATTGAAACTCAAGAAACACCCGATCTAGAAGATTCAGAAGAAAGCAAAAAACCCTTAAGAGAATAAGGGAAGAAATCCAAGAATGCGAAGAAGCTGACATTAGAAACGAAATAAAGATAAATTCAAAACACAGAAATGCCGGACTGGAGTCGGTATTGACGCGAAAAATCAATCGTGAGAGCTTGGAATAATCCGAGAAACCCAAAAACGACGCTACTCACATTGAAATTGAAGAGAATTTTGCGTTAAGAGAACAAAGAGAAAGGAGTACAGAAAGGCAATGGAATCGAAGAGAAGGAAGTAGAAGTAGTTACCACACCTGAGGCTACTCGGAGCAGAAAATCCAGCTCCCGAGGAAGAAGAGAGCGAAGGCAATATTTGGGGCTTTTTGAATGTCATAAAGGGCTGGATGTGGGGTCTACTGGCTTCACACATCGCGCCACGTTTTACAGAGCGTGTAACGCTTCGGGAGGTGAGCTCCAAATGACGTGGCAACATGTGCATGAACATACTAAAAAAATAAATAAATAAATTCCATTCAAAAATAAATCCTGAAATTTTTTTTTTTTTTTACCATCAACAAATCCTGAAAATTTACAATCATAGCAATACGGCTTACAGGCACATTGTTACGATTTTAAACTTTTACAACAAACAAAAAAAGCTTCCCAAAACCTAGCGTTCCAAAGTAAAAATTTTTTAGAGTAAATTTGCACATTAACCCAAAAATAAATTATATAGCACAAAATATTAATTCACAAAAAATGTAATTTTATGGCCATCTGAATAGGGCAACTTAAAACACATATAATAAAGATTTATTTTTTTTTATAGATTTTTCATCGCTTAGATATATATATCATTTGTTTTATTTTATGTTTATATTTTACTACACACGTTTTTGCATGGATTATATGAATTTGAAGTGAGTCAAACTGTAAATGACTTAGGAATAGTATAATTTGATAAAATTTTTGTATTTATGATAATGGATATGATGGACGACTGCAATGTATAGAGTTTCCAGATAACTTGTTGATGCGAAATTAGGAAATTTATTTGATGATTTTTTTTATTTTTTATTTTTTTGTGGTTTGCTATGAGGCTTTAATAGATTGTTTACTATTTTATGTTCTTGTTTACTTGAAGCTTAAGTTAGGGTTTTTTATTTTAATTTTCATTTAGGTTTTATTTTAGGTAAAAGTATACTTTAAATTCCTTAACTGTATACAAGATTTTAATTTGATCTTTTAACAATTATGGTTATTTTGAAAATTAAACTTGATATATTAGTATTTGAGAATGGTTTGTCAACATTCAAAATTTCAATATCATCATTTTTTGTTAAAAATTTTAAAATTAAATTATAAAAATATACTTTTTAAAATTAAAAGATCAAATTAAAATATTATAGAAAGTTAAAGGACAAATAATATACTTTAGCTTTTATTTTATTTATGTTTGAGTCATTATTATTTTAATGATCGTACTTAAGTCTTTATAAATTATAGACATTTTTGATAAATTATTATTTTTAATAAATTTGTGCCACATTAGTTCTTTCATCTTATCATCTGTGTTTCTTCCATTTTTACCTCCTTCCTTCTTTCCCTTTATCTTGCATAAAACGCATTGTATCTAATTTATAGACTTTAACATATTATACATTTTTATTTGATTATTAATTTCCAATATTGATAAACAATTATTATTTTAAGAGTTAATATAATTTTTTTATCCTTCAAGTTTGTCATCATTTTAGTTTTAGTCCCTTAACTTTTAAACCATAGGTTTTAATCCTTCAACAGGTAAAATGGTCCAAATTTTAATTGAATTATGACAATTAATGTTTTAAATGAAAAAAAAAACCTTGAGAGATAACACTAATATATAAAAAATTTAAAGGACCGAAAATTATATTATTTCTTATTTTAAAAAGGCTAAAAATTTTATCTGTAAATATATGATTTGGTGAAGTGCAGAGGTTTAAGTCCCAAAAAAAAAAAAGCCCACACGGCACAGGCTTTGGGAGATGAGGTAAATTAAATAAATAAATTATTTGTTTTTTTTTTGTTAAAATTAAAACAACTTCCATTATATCACACGACATAAGCATTTAATATATTAGCATACTAAAATAGAGAAGCATGAATAACACACAGTGAAATGGAAAAAATGGGCAAGTAATAAGGAGACGATGTCCTCATAAAGTAGTTGTGCAACTCTCATACTTGCAAGCCGAGTGACTAGTCAGGTGAAACTGTGAAAGGCTAATAAGATGAAATAAATATATTAAGCACATATTTACACCAATCAGATTTTCATGGATCCCTTTTCTTTCTGAATAAGCATAGCGTTATGGGAGAATAACTAAAAAAAACTGAAAATTACAAATACCAAATCAGGTAATACAACTTTATTTGGTATTGACAAGTCTGAATTTACGAATGACAATAAATTTTTATTGACGGAATATTTGACATTTATAAAATTTCAGCTTTTTTTTTTGTCATTGTCCCTAGTGTTATTTGTGCAGCTATATTTTTTTAAAAAAAATACTTTCACCAACCACCAAGCACTTGGATCAACGGGTAAGGGGTTGTTCCAGTTTAACCAAAGGTCACAGGCTCAATCCTTTGGGTACGCAACAGTGTACGTGGTAGGGTAGCCGCCCATATGGGTTCTCAAATTCCCGATCTGGATTAGTCTGGTTTGTAATTCCCTGAGGAGTTGGCGGCAAGTTATCCCTCTGGTCCTATTTATAAGTCATTTCTAACATGTAAAAAACCTCAAACTTTATTAACTCTAATTTAAAATTTAACAACTTTTCAAATTTACCCTATGTAATATGCATCATATCTCATATAAACAAAGTTAACACAATAATAAATGAAGGGTAAAATTATACATCCATACAAAAAATTTCTCTCAATCTCCTGTTAATAAGATCAAAACATATTTTTTCTCTCTATCTTATAAATAGGATCAGAAGAGTAATATGTTACAAAGAATAGAATCCGCGATGTCTTCCTTATTTGAAGCATCCATGCCCCTAACCCCAAGGCCTTTGGCTGACTCCGAGGCTTTTTTGTCTGATTGTGTTGCCATCTTCTATTTTCAAACCGATAGTCGAAAAAACTCTCTCGCTTTGCAAAACAACCCATGCCAAGCCACTGTATATAACGTCTAAACTTCAAAGAAAGAAGCTACAATAAATTAACGTTTTATCTCACCAATTTGCAATATTCCTTCCTTCCTGAGCACATCAGATCGTCAGCCTGAGATCCAAAGCCATTCTCATCAGCTGCTAGCCAGCTGTGTGGATGGGAGTTTCATTTGCTTGAGGTGTTTTCTGGGAAACACTTGTGCAAGCCCATCATCACTTTTATTGCTTGCAACACTTCCATTATGGCCGCCGGCGGCCGTCAAGTTAGCTCCGGTCGGTAATGATACAATTAGTGCTTGTGCTGGTGCAGGGGCTAACTCCTCCGCTGCTGCAACCGTGGTCCACGGCGGTGCCACCTCCGTTGAATTCCCTGCAGATTGGAAAGAGAGAGAGAGAGAGAGGAAGAAAGAAAGAAACTTTCAGGTATGGATGACATATATGTGAGCCTGCAAGAAGAGAAATATAGCAAATTCTTGAAGGTCGGTGGACATGTTTACCATATAAATCAAAGTCTGGCTCTGAATTCTCTGACAAGAGAACAAGTGAGGGAGTGATGATTGTGAGAAAAGCCCAGAAGATGAATATTGGAATTAAGGTTCTTTCACTCATTTGTTGGAATAATAATGAGAAGTAAAGGACTGAACTTTGTGGGGTATGTAAGACAAGAATCCGGTGGTTCGCAGAGAGGAGAGATGGGGAAGATGATGTTCTTAGCTGGCCATGTTCAAAACAACATTTGTATAATACAATGTGAAACTTAGTATCCCATTTGATAATTATTATTATTATTATTATTATTATTATTATAATATTACATGCAGAGTCGGGTTTAACAACTAAAAGCTGGCCATTTGTTTTCGCAGTTGTGGGGCGGTTGTTATTAGTAGACACCGCTGGTTTAACTGGACCAATTCTTCAACGGAGAATCTCCCCATATAGCCAAAATATGAAAAGAAAGCAAACTCTATAGAAGTAAGATTAGGGTTAAAAGATCTAAAGAAGAAACATTGTTTTCAAATACTACCCCCCAACCTTAATATAAATGCTCATTTTAATTTTATTTTTATTCTAAATGTAAAACCCTAAACCATTTTATCTGTTATATTTATTTATTTATTTTTCAAAATAGCCCTTATAATAATAATAATTCTAATTAATACATTTGATTAGTAAAAACATTTTAAGAAAAATAAAAGCTATTTATTGAAAATAACTAATTTAACTAATTTTCTTAATCTACTCAAATTAGTCAACTAATTTTTATATTAAGAGCCAGAGGTGGTATATGATGACAAAATAGGCTGTTTTGACTTAGAAAAGTGATGTGGGGTTTTGACTCTTTGTTTCTTCCTAATTTTCAAGAGGAAAACTTTAAATAATTATTATATATTCTTAAATGAAAAACCAATAATAAAATAAAACATTGCCTGTATATATTGAAAATTCATGTCAACTATTTTTTTTATTTTATTGTATGCATATATTATTATTATTATTATTGTGGTGGTGGTCTCTCCAAATTACTTTGGACTTAAGATTTAATCTCTATAATCTCTATCGAACTAGAAGTTTAACGGTTAAAACATTGACTCATTACCCACCTCTTTTTTTTTTTTTGGGGGGTTAAATTTGAAATCTAATTCCACTGTTACAACATTACCTAGAACATCGGGCCCATATATTTAATATCTGAAGATCCAAATTCAATGTCAACCACATGAGGATGCATGCAAATCCACGAATATTTTAGAGGAATACTTTTATTTCTTCAATCCTCTTTTCACCTTATCCTGCCAGCAAACAAGTAAACATTCCAATATCCAAACCCTATACAAGTCCAAAAGCTTGAACTTCATAACTCCCTTCTCAATCAAGACACAGCCAGGATATTTGGACACACAAAGAAACATAGGCAGATAAGTCTTTCAAAAAGTAAGTCTTGGAATCACAATTCAGAGTCCATCAATTAACAAACCATCTATTACTTCTTACGAATGATTGACCTACATATATACTAAAACTTCTAAAGACCCACAACCTAAACTGTGATTTCCTGTCCGGACATACGGAGCTTCAAAGTTTCAGTCCCTAGAAATGGCTCACTTCTTCCCTGAGTACCTCTGTCAGGAATAAACAAAAAAGGATTCACTCAATTAGGAAGACTAAAGATGATCAGATAGAAATCAAGTCAGGGTTGCCTATGGTTAAAAATGCCAAAAAGCCAGAGCTCTCACCTGCTTTCCGATGCTGAAAGGGACATACTTGTACTTAACCATGTGCATAATTTGGCGCTTCATTGTGAGGATGAAGAGGACAACCCAATAGCAGAGAAGTATGGGCCAGAAAACAGGGACATCAAGCACAGATATGAATGTCATAAGAAAGCCAATGCAGAAAGCCTTCGTTATGGCATACCTGGTACATGAATTAATTCAAAATCAATACAACATATCAGAGTCTTCCATTCAAAAATATTGTTGCAGAAGTTCAATTTAATAAAAGCAAGTGACCTATCACCCCCACCATAAAAGATTAGTGACAAGGGGACAATTACTGAATCCACTCAAGCTTCCAAAAAGCTTCCCACTAAATAAACTCTAAATATATCATTATGTATATAACATAAAGGCTAATGCATTATTCACAAGTTATAAACCATGTAACACATTGCTCAGACTCCATACCATACACGAAAATAAGTTTAGTCGTTCTTTTATAACAAGATTACTTAAAGAAACCTTTAATATATAGGTATAAAAAACCTTTTGGTCGGCAAACTTATCTTTAGGTCCTAGAACTAGAAGCTTGTTTACCAAAGACAAATGAATCTAAAGAAGCTAATTACAAGTACCGAAAAGTTTCTTCTATTTATTAAGAAAAAAGATATAAGCACAAAGAATCTGAAGTGATTGCTTTAAACTGTATGCTTATGAACATCCAAGACCGTCTCAGTGTGTCAGAACTTAAAATAGACTCCTCAATGACTGACAATAATGTCCAACATGCACGGGTGAATATATGTCAAGCCTACATAGGTAGATAACTAATAATAAGATGAATGATTAATCATGTCCAGCCTTCTCTGTTATCTTTACAAATAGAAACTCCACAGCTAGTTTGCATACCACACATTTTAGAAATAAGTGAAAGGGAAACCTTATGATAATAGGAATCCTCTACTCTAGACAATGGAGAAGGTTGTGAAGGGAGAACTCATTTTCAATATGGTAATAATTTATTGTCCTATAACCCGGAGGTATGGATTGAGCATTTCGCATACGCTAAGCACAAATTTCTAATAATTTTCATTTCCATCGCCAACATGCTCTGATCAAATTAGAACATTTGATTCAACATGAAATGAAGCATCCCAACCCAAGGTTCAAAAATCACACCATCAATGGGAAGGGTGGAAAAAACCGTAGCCTCTTACAGCTCCTTCAACTAGCATTCAATTTCAATTACAGCCAGAGAAAGTCCCAGATCATTCTGTCCTCAGCGATTTTGATTAAAGAAGTTAGCACATACAATGAGTATGACAAATGTTTATTGGTTGCCTCTTTGTGAGCTAATTGTCCTTGTACAAATTTTTAAGTTGATTACTCTCCGGGGCCTCGCAAACTAAATGAAGCTTCTTGAAGTTTATAAATTGACATACGTTGCAAAGATTCATCATGTGGTCAGCTTAAATAATAAAAAAAACTCAACTATCCTGCAAGAGTCTCATTGGTTAAACAGCATAATTACCAATAAATACACCAATATTCTGAGGTACTTCATCAGAGTTCCTAGAAATGGGGACAGCATATACGTAACTAACAGAACCAACATTATCCTAAAGCATCCTCACTGCCCACTTTGCTACCCCAACGTAAGCATTAACAAAGAACCATGCTAGCTAAAAGTTTCATAATAACTTCAGTAAGGGTCATATTAGATATTACCAGAACTTGAACTCAGGAAGGCGACGAACAAATGGCTTAAACTCATCTGAGTCCTTAGTAGGCAATGAAGCCCCGTCCAAAACTTCGAGCTCAGGATCAACTTTGGGCGACATAAAACCAATCAACAGATTCAGTATATAGATGCCTAGGCCATAGGACACAATGTAGAACCCCCGAACGTAGTAAACCCTTAATACATAAATAGCGGCCACAACAAGAGTTCCCAGCCACCTCTGAACTGTGTGAGGAGTCGAACGATCCAAATAGTACTGAAACGCCCTAGAAAAATCATTCCTCCATTGAGCAAGAGGTGCGACAACGGAGGGGATATCGCTTCCAGCTCCTTCCATGAAAAGCTAGTCTTGTAAGCTCCAGCTGTTATGTCCCACAGAAAATTTCAACGCCCTCAGAAAACCAGGATGACAAAATATTTCGCAATGCGTGTGAATCATAATCGCAATATTAATGCAATCCCGGGAAAAAATTTTTTGCTCCCTAATTAGAAAGAGTAAAGGAGGGGGGAAAACTGTGAACAAAAAAATCATACATTTTCTCAACGATTCAGCCAGAAGTATAGCCGAGTAAGCTTGAACACCACCGACAAGTTTACAGCCTTCTGCGTTCGAAACAGGGTTCAATTTTATGTAAGCCCTACAATCATCAATCAATTTCATCAAATCCACTGGTAAGACGAATCATGATGAAGTTTACATCTTACAACAGGGGAAATAAACAAATAAGATTTCGGTAAGATTTTAGATTATTCTCAACAAAATCCGAATAGAAGTCCATCGAATGATTAATAAATGGCAGAGTGAAAGTTTCACCCTCAAAGAAATTGGAAGCAAACCAAGGTCGGTTGTTGTTGGACTTTCGATAAATGAACCGAAGGTCGTTTTCCACCAATCCATGCCATTTCAGAATTTTGATGGGCTGCTTCCTTCGGGATACAGAAACGAACCGTTTTCCAGTTGAGATTCAAGACTTCGGGAAAAAAATAAAGTACTTTCGGTTCTAATTATAAATCTGGTTATAATTATAAAAACTAATTAATTAATTTAAAGAGATTAAAGAAATAAGACAAATTAGTTATTTGTAATAAATGTGTGTTTCTTTCTTAAATATTCTTGATAATCAAGCTTATTGGCTAAAACTACCATTATTAGAAGGATTATATTAAAAAAAAATATAAATATGAAAGACAAAGTAGATTATGGTCTTATAATTAGGATCAAAATAAAAATCAAATAAGGTCTTATATTAAATATCAGAGGTAGTACTGCCTATTAAAAAGTCTTAATAATTTGTATCCAATAATAATAATAATAATAATAATAAAATACCTTAAAAATTGTTAAAGACAAATTAGCATACCTGAATTTCAAAATTTCAATTCAAAACTCTGGACCATTTTGAAATTTTCAAATTTTATAAAATTATACAAATACTCTTTATTATTTTTCTCACCATTTTTTTAAAACACTGCCACCTCAGCATTTCCAGGCACTTCTGGCCACCAGAACTCCGGTAACGGGTTGCTGGAGCTCTGGTGACTTTTTTCCTCCTATATTGATTACTTTTTTTAGTTATTGACTATATTTGTTTTTAAAACTCTGATGACTAATCTTGTTTAGTTACTGACTATTTTTAGTATTGCAATTGACTACTTTCATTTTTAAAATTTTCATGACTACTCTTATTTAGCTATTGACTACTCTAATTTCGTTATTGACTACTTTTGTTTCAAAAATTTAAAAAATACATTAAGTGTTGTTGGACGTCTAGTAACTACTTTTTGCTTAGTTATTTACTACTTTTATGTAGTCAACTACATAAAAGTAATCACCTTTGAAAACAAAAGAGTCAATAGTTAAATTAGAATAGTCAATAATCACTGAAAGTAAAGACAGTATTGTCAATTCACAATATTTTAAAATTTCAAAATAGTACAAGGGATCTAATTTGGGATTTTGAAATTCACCTGCTATAATTTATCCTTTAGTATTTTTAAAAGAGTCTTAGTATCTTTTTACCCAAAAAAACTCTTAATAATCAGTGAACACTGAACCACGTTGATTTTTTTCCTTTTTATATTTGTAGTATAATAAGTTAATATTATTAGGATTAATATAGAAATTTGTCCCGAATATTTTTATTTAGAAATGCTAAACATTTGAAACCTTTTTTTTTTGTTGCAAATTTATCCTGAGAGTTGAAAACAGTAGTAATATTATCCCTCTTGTTAAAATACTAATACTGAATATTAAAATAGTGAATATTAAAATAATGATATTAATAGTTAATATTTTTAAATATAACAAATAATATTATTGTCATTTTAAATTTTTAAAATAAATTTGTATAAAAAAATACTTTTGAATAACCAATATTGGTAAGTAAAAATTTTTAGAATAAATTTATAATTTTTAGAGTAAGGAGGTGTTTGGCAACATTAAATTTATAATTTCTCAGAAGCACTTTTCCGCAAAACAAGACAAACTCCTTCACATATTTACTTCGTAAATCATAAAAACACTTTTGAAACCATAGTTTGATTTCCATCCAAATATCTCCTAAATTTACACTTTAATCCATAAGAAATGACCCACAATGTTAATTCAGGTTGAAACATTAAAACGTTATTCAAGTTTTTTTTTTTTGACCAGCAAACTTAATTCAAGGTGAAACATAAGAAACAAACGTAAAATTAAAATTTCATGAAATGCACCTAGCAATTTTGAAACCCCATTTTGCCCTCCCCATTATACGGAATATACTACCCTACCACTGGAACTGCGAGGAAGAGGAAGCCCTCTGGTTCTTAACGCTATCCTCCTTTTCCTTCTTCGATTACACATCGAGCACGCCGAACGCAAACAGAGCTTGAACTTGCAGAAGCTTGTATCTCTTAGCTACTCCACTGGTAGTCAAAAGTGGAAATTGCATATGGGAACTTTAGGGAAAGCAATATACACCGTAGGATTCTGGATTCGTGAGACTGGGCAGGCTATTGATCGGCTCGGTTGTCGCCTCCAGGGCAACTACTACTTCCAAGAACAGCGTAAGCCCTTCTTTAATCCTCTCTTTCTGAGCTTGCACATCCAATTTCCTGTTCAGTTCGTTTGTGAATCGGAAAAATCTATAATCCCCCTTTCAAGGTAGATGTTTTTGGTTGATTTTATAAAATGCTGTCTCTTTTTTGTCAGCGTAGTTTTTCAAAGTTGGTACATAGATCAATGCTAGTTGAATTACATTTGGAATCGCGCTGCTGAATAGACTTTGCAGGGATGACGAGGGGTGTTCATTCTTAATATGAGATAATACCTTATCTCATGTCGTTTTGTTGAATAGTCTGTGCTTCTACTTTCTTTGTCTCCGTCCACATTGAGACGTCAGTGAGAGACCGGTCATACCGAAAGCTTTTGGGCCATAATACTGAGATGAACAATTTAGTACGATGAATACATCAAGTCATCAAAGGATTGTTTCTGGCATCGGAAGTTTCCAGTCAGCAACCCTGAATGAGATTATGTGATTAATATTGATGATTAACAATAGCTTGTTTTAGTATTCCTTTCTTTTACATATCAAATTGTGGTCACAGACTTACAGTGCTTTAAAACTAAATTTACTCATGAGAGGAGAAAGGTTTGAGGAATATCACTGTTTTCACGGACTCTGTTCACAGTTAAAACTGATCATGAGAGGAACTAGCTTTGACCACCCTTATTTTGATTATATTGAAGAAGCCAGATTTGCTCTCTCCAGAAATTGGAATGTTTGTGTATATTTCACCCTCAGAGAATACTAATCAACTGCTGATAGATTAGCTAGATTAGGACATACTAATTACGAGATTTTTTGCTCCTACGATCAACCACCACCCAGCAATGCATTATCTTTCTTAGACTTTCAAGTTTTCTTAATTTGTTAACTTGCCCTCATTTTTTTTGTTCGCATGATTACCTTTTCCTCCTCTTTTAATCATTTTTGCTTCATGAAATTGAAGGATATATGAAGAAAATGAAATGATTTGCTTTATGTGTGTGTGCGCACAAACACCTCCTTTTCTGGTCTATGTTTATGGTTTTTTTTCCTTCACCAGTTTTTCGTTATACCATGAAACATGTAAAGTGATCTTATTCTTTTTTTCTTTTGTTTTGTTTTTAGTGTCTAGGCATCGAACTCTGATGAACATATTTGATAAGGCTCCTGTAGTTGATAAGGAGGCCTTTGTTGCACCAAGTGCCTCCATCGTTGGAGATGTTCAAGTTGGAAGAGAGTCCTCAATTTGGTATGGATGTGTCTTGAGAGGTAAGGTTGTTTGCTTGATCAATGGAAAGTAAAAGCATTCTAAAGATTTCATGCATCAAATGCTTCTACAATCTTTTTCAATAACCTGTTGTGCACGACTTTATATGGGGTATCCTTGCTGAAAAGAGAGAAACAAAAAAGAAAAGAAAGCTTTAGCTCAGCTGCTTTCATATATTGGGAACCTGTATATCTTTGATTATCTCATGAAAATCAAATCATGAAATTCTGTCAGGTCTATATTTTGTAGATACGCATGGTGGTAATGTTTGATGCTCACATCATGCGCAGGTGATGTGAACAGCATCAGTGTTGGAAGTGGGACTAACATACAGGATAACTCCTTGGTCCATGTTGCAAAGTCAAATTTAAGTGGGAAGGTGTTGCCAACTATTATTGGGGACAATGTTACTGTTGGTGAGTAATTTTTCTTCTGCAATAAATAACCACACTGACACTACTATATTGTAACCAGCTTTTGTACTTTGCACTGGGTAGGTCATAGTGCAGTCTTACATGGCTGTACTGTTGAGGATGAGGCCTTTGTTGGTATGGGTGCAACACTACTTGATGGTGTCGTTGTTGAGAAAAATGCTATGGTTGCTGCTGGAGCCCTTGTGAGACAGAATACTAGGATTCCCTGCGGAGAGGTATGCTTTTAGTAATCACATCAGTTTCCTTTGTCTAAAACTTATATCCTATTCACGGAACAGAGAGAGAACTCACGCTTCTTTCTGCTTCATTGTTCTTAAAAATTTTTCCCGTTTATTGTCTTGCTGACCAGCGTAATACTAACCATGTGAAGCATAACCTCCAGAAGCAAACTTTTCTATAATACAAATTGTACGTCCTTTAGGGACACTCTTGTTAATATCTTTTGTAATACTCTCAAGTCATACATTGATTTGTCAAAATGCTGTTGGAATAGAGATATTGGTGGTCAAGGGACCTAGTTGTTAAGTTAACTTTGATTTTAAATATAAAACCCATTTCTTATATTCATCAATTTTTTCTAAATTACCTTTATAGATATTTCCTCAACCATAATCAAATAAGTGAGGGAGTGAGAATATTAAGAGAGATGATTATGGTATTTTAAAAAAAATATGTCATATTTCTTATAATTAACTAATTTACCTAACTTTCCTAATCTAATCAAATTAGTTAAATAGGTCTTATATTAAGGACCGGAGCAGTATCACATAAGTATATATCGTAATTGGTTAAATTGTGCTGTGACTACATTCAGCTCGATAAATTATGAAGCGGAGACCTTTCATCGATTCAAGAATCAGTCTGGTTTCAGAAATATCGTTTGGTACAATGTCATGTTTCTAATTTAACTTCCTATGAGGATTTCAATTTTAAAAGTAGATTTTCATATTCTTGTCAGCTTTGTAGAAATCATTTGGATGCCTTCTGCAGCATTATTACGAGGTTGGATAGAGCAGAAGATAGAAGCTATTTGAGTGCATGATAATGTTATCCTAACAAGTGCTTGTGATTCTATTTGTAAAACAATGGTCTTTTAGACCAGAGTCATCAGTATGTTTTGTGTTAGGTCAAAGAAAGAAGTCAATATGTGTTGTGGGATGAAAAGAAATACTCAGTCATGCTTCTTTCTTTAGCACAAGCTTGCCTCTGGTGCAGGTGTGGGGGGGCAATCCGGCAAAGTTCCTGAGGAAGCTCACCAATGAAGAGATAGCATTTATCTCACAATCGGCCGCCAATTATTCAAACCTTGCACAGGTCCATGCAGCTGAAAATGCCAAGTCTTTCGACGAAATTGAGTTTGAAAAAGTGCTGAGGAAGAAATTTGCACGCAAAGATGAAGAGTACGACGCAATGCTTGGGGTTGTTCGTGAAGTCCCTCCGGAGCTTACTCTACCGGATAATGTTCTTCCTAATAAAGCACAAAAGGCTTCTTAAAAATGAGTTCGCCTCAAAGAATGTTACTTCCAATCACAATCTTGTAAGTGGCATCAAAGCAAGAGGGATATTCTTGTGTTTTTTTTTTTCTTTGGGAATTTGTGAAAGAGGGATTATTGTTATTCATAATAATATCAGACGTGGATTAGGCTTGACATGCATCTCCTTTCCCAGTCTAGGGATAAATGGTTCCCTAATATTTCAGTTTTACTTTATACTCTGGAAACAGAAGTCCTTTCTGTTTAATGTATCCGATCCAGATGATTATTAAATTATAAAGTTGTCGTTGAAATAATAGTGACTTTACTACAAGCAGGGCAGGTGTATCTTAATCGTGTGTACGTGTGACTTTCATTGGGAACACCCTCTCCCCACAAAAAAAAAAAAAACACCAAAAAAAAAAAAAAAGAACCACGAGTAAGGGAGTAGGTGGTAACAGTTGAGCTTATAAACGAGATTTTAACCAATCTACTGATCTCTAATTGATTCCCTAGTGGGGATGAAGAAGGTTGTGAAGAAGAAAATGATGTAGTGAGAGAGGGAAAGAAGAAACTGATAAATTATCAAAATCGTTGATGCGATTAACCATAGGTGATGTTAGTCTGGTAATAAAAAAAAAAAGAAAACATAAAAACAGTTGATGTTAGGTTCTCAAAGTTGTCAATGTCACTAACGTACTTTGATTGATGTCACGTTCGTAAAATTGTTAACTATTGCTCTGATCTTAAATATAAATATAAGAATTAATTTGACTTTTAATTTGATCCTAAATATAAACTTTAATTTAAGTTGTCTGTTATCTTTATCTATTTTTTCAAAAGTTAGTTCTTGTAATAGTTGTCTATGTTAAATGTTCCATGATATTTAATTAGTAAAAGTATTTTAAGAGAAACAATATCTAATTATTACAAATAACTAATTTAGCTAATTTTTTAATCTATTTAAATTAGTTAACTAACTCTTATACTAAGAATTAAAAGTAGTACAATTTTATTGATTGCATATTATGGCATGAACATTTTCTTTATAACAATACTTGTGCTATAGTTATGTGCGTATGAACAATCTGCTAGTGTTCCTAAGTTTGGTTAATAGACGTGGAGTTATTAAAATTTAAAATAATATTACTTCCAATACTTAATATAAAAGTTAGTTTAACTTTTAATTTAATCCTAAATATCAAACTCTAATCTACTTTATCTCTTTTATTTATTCAATTTTTTTTAAAGTAACCTTTGTAGTTGTTGTATAAGTAAATGTTCCATAAAATAATAGTTCTAGCTAATACATATGATTCATAAAAGTAATTAAGGAAGATTACAGCTATTTATTACAAATAACTAACTTAACAGACTTCTTTAATCTACTCAAATTAGTTAATTAATATTTATATTCAGAAGATATATTAAGATTTTATATTTAGCAATAAATTGAATGTCAAAATAACTTTTATATTAAGATTAAATTTAAGAAAACGATGGAGCACCCCTGTAGTATGCACTGCAAAATCTGTCTCAAGTGTTATCTTGAACCTTGGAGCGGAGGATTCGTTTTGTTCTCCAGCCCAAGAGAATAACTCTTTTTTTTTTTTTGATTACAACGGACCCGCGACGCACACAGCCCACACAGACCACTCGGCCAAACAACCAGTGGTAGAGAGAAGAACTCTTGTATTCCAGAAGGAGAAGGGAAAGTCAAAAAGAAAATTTACTTTACTTTCTAGGCACTACTAAAACTGAATGTCCTTCCTTCCGGTCCCATCGCTCATAATTAGTCACAAAACTGAACATCCTCCAGGCAGGACATCCTCTCTGTAGCGGGGTCCGCACCAGAAGAAAATTTTTGTGGCGGGACCCGCACTTATCTTTAGTGCTTCATACATATTTATTACGAGGAAAGGAGAAAACCCATCTCTGTAGACTATTTACTATGTACTCTCTTCCTCCACGACCAGCTCGCAACGCTTACATTGGACCCCACACTTTGCAGGATACCTACCCCTTCCTAAGATTTTATCACGGGTACGAATGGTATTAAACACGCTGCATCAACAAAGATAAAAGGACTCCTTTTCCTCCCAAGGCTGTCTGCAGCGGTGCCCGCACCTATCTCCATATATACCCTTTCCTCCACGACCAGCTCGCAACACTTACATTGAACGTCATTGTGCTCCGATCGAGCTCTGTTAGTTCCCTCTGCAAAGCATCAAATCTGAAAGCAAGATGCCTTCTTCCTCATCAAACACCTTCAGGCAAGTCACAATCGCTTCCTCCCTCTTATGCTGATCTATTAGAGCGAAACTAACCCAACTGTACCATACTTACCTCATGGTCAGATGGTACCCATTCTTCACAATCTGAAAGGTTTCTCATGCTTTGTAGGTTTCGGCCTGTTATCTCAACATTAGTTACTATGCTTGGAGTGCTATTGCCCTCATTGCTATTACAGGGGGCAAGCTCTGCAACATTCTTGGCTATCATATCTCCAGTAATACTCATCATATATGCCCACGCGGCACCGACTATGCCTTCTTCTCCTTGTTCATCCATCATAGAGTTCTTGAGGTCAGTGTCCCATCTCATTCCTCCTTTGTCATATCTTGATCTTTTCCTTTTCCATCTTATTCTTAAGTTCTTAAGGCTTTGAATCTCTAGTCTAATTGAATGGCATTGCTCTGCTGACAGAAACAGGTTGGCCTTTGGTCTCACTCCATATAATTCATTGTTTCTACAGCCACATATGTAACAGTAGTTCATAATCAGTAACTGAATAAGCTAAGAACAAGTATATTTGCATCAACCTTGATTGTTAATTAATGTAACGATGCTTTCTTTATGCAGGTCTATTCCGACACATGAGGGATTGGGTAAACTAATTGAAGAGTTAGCTGGTACGGTGGAGAGATACTACGGAGATTCGTCGCCGCTGAAGGAAAACTCTGTTAGGACGTGGGCTTTTCTCATAAGCAGATCCGTCCACAAGTGTACAAGGGATGTCATATCGGGTTCTCTAGCCTGTTCAGTATTGATATCATTCCTCCTCTCCCATGATGAGACGCCGTCAGTGTATGTCTTATTTGCAGTCTGGGGAGTTCTGGTGGTTCTATATTTGGCGAAACACAGGGCACCAATTCCTCGAAACGACAGTGATTGATTTTGTTTGCTCTGTTTCAGTATATGCTTATGTTTATCTTCTTTTTTGTCTATTATGGTTTTACATGCGGGTTTTATTGTATTAGGCCAAGAGAGGTGGATCTAATGATCTGCTAACATATGGATCTTTCCCTCCATGTTTAGTTGGAATGAAATGAATGAGTGTTTATTATTGGAACATTAGAAATAGGAACCATTTGAACGGTCATAATTATTCCTCCTTTGAATGTTCATAATTAATCATGTATACGTGTGACTTTAATGGGAATTCCCCCAAAAAAAAAAGAACCACGAGTAATGGAGTAGTGCTAACAGTTGAGCTTATAAACGAGATTTGAACCAATCTACTGATCTCTAATTGATCCCTTAGTCGAGATGAAGAAGGTTGTGAAGAAGAAAATGATGTAGTGAGAGAGGGAAAGAAGAAACTGATAAATTATCAAAATCGTATGACGCGATTAATGGAGTATCTTTTTAAAAATAAATAAATAAAAGGGCTGGTATTAGACCTTAAAAGGGAAGGAACTTATCTCCCATGTTAACTCATTTGGGGACAGAGTTTTAGACCTTAATTACATGTGGTTTGTCTTGTTTCTATTCCGTTTATTTATAAATTAATGGAGTATCTTTTTTCGGAAAAAAACAAATAAAAGGGCTGGTATTAATAGCATGAAGTTATTTTTTATTTTCATTGGGGAGGGCAAGCACACCAATCGCATAAGATTGCATTTATTAGCGGGATGAAGCTCACGACCACTCACTTATAAAGATTTCTCATGCTATTACACTATAAAATCAATGACAAATTAATGTCTTTTTAATTTAGGTATTACTTTTTTTAACATTATATATGAATATTTTTATATATTTTAATCATGATTTCCAGTTTTGGATCACTAACCCTTGAATCCTTTTGGGTCAACTTTCTATATCTTGGAAGAGACTAGCACCAAAAAAGATAAAAACTTAATGCTATTTTTAGGAAAACCTGAGACTCAAAAGGTGTTTGGTAAACTTGTCAAAATTATCTGTGGAGCCCAAACTATGATTTGGCTTAAACACCAAACATTTCACATTTTAATGAAATCATGGTTTGACATACCTAAACTATGGTTTTATGAAAAACAAAAAATGTTGCTTTTTGAAAGGTGGTCTTTTTTTTTTTTTTTAACGTTGTAATACTATTTCTAGTCTTTAATATAACTAGTTAACTAATCTGAGTAGAATAAGAAAATTAGTTAAGTTAGTTATTTGTAACAAATAAATGTTGTCTTCCCTAAAATACTGTTTCTAATCATGTGTATTGGCTAGACATACCATTTGATAAGATATTTAACATGTACAACTATCACAAAAACTACTTTAAAAAAATAGATAAATATGAGAAATAAAATGAATTAGAGTTTTATATTTAGGACCAAATTGAATATCAAAATAACTCTTATATTAAAGATTGGAGGTAGTATGTTGTTAAAAATAAACTAGTTGTGAAAAAATGTTATAAAATTTCATGTTTAAAATCTTTGAGGCAAAATAATATTTTTCTGTTGGCAAAAAAAATAATTTTTTAAAAACATATTTAATTTTATATTTTATAAATACATATACACATATTAATTATTGATTAATTACATTTTTTATATATTATTTATTAAGTTGGCCAAAACCATATTATTAACAAATTTATTACTTTTCAAATAATGTTCTTCCTAATAAAGCACAAAAGGCTTCTTAAAAATGAGTTCGCCTCAAAGAATGTTTCTTCCAATCACAATCTTGTAAGTGGCATCAAAGCAAGAGGGATATTCTTGTGTTTTTTTCTCCTTTGGGAATTTGTGAAAGAGGGATTATTGTCATTCTTAATAATATCAGACGCGGATTAGGCTAGACATGCTTCTCCTTTCCCAGTCTAGGGATAAATTGTTCCCTAATACTACCTCCGGTTCTAATTATAAGATCCAGTTGACTTATTTGAGGAGATTAAGGAAGTAAGTTAAGTTAGTTATTTGTAATAAATGAGTGTTGTAATTCCTAAAATATCGTTGTTAATTAAGTGTATTGGCTAGAACTATCATTATTAGAAGGACTATCTTGGAAAAAAAATGCATAAGTATAAGAGACAAAATAGATTGGGATCTTATAA